TTCACAATAGAAACTTAAAAAAAACACAATGTAGTGAGATTATTTTTGTAAGGTATCAATGAGGAAACTGGTGTTAAAAAAGGGTCAATAGCTTCCCATTATCCCATGCAAAAGCTATATAGAGTTTGACTTGTAACTAATTCAAACTCCTTATGAAGACTTGTTATTAAAAATTTAAAGTTGTTACCAACTGAGGTAGGAAATTTCCACTGGAAAGGACGAGTAGACCAGCCTGGAGTGGCTAAAAGACCAGAGGATACTCTATGAAAGAAAGACCAGCAGGAAATATCCGAAACAATAATGGCAGTCTGATCGATTACTACAAGAACAAGTAAGCCTGGGAGTCATCAAGGCAAGTAGTCGGGACCGCTCAGAGCAAACCCACTTCTGAGACTGAGACTCAAGGGCAATACATGAGCAGGCATGTGGTCTGGCTGGGGGTAAAAACAGCATTGAAGTTGTAAGCTAAGCCCAACTACATTCAATGGACCACTGTGAAACTGAGTGGAGACCTGGATGGCCAGCAATCTGGGGACTTCTGGGCCCAGAGGCAGTGACATGGCCATAGAAGACTAGAGCAGAGAGTGAAGCGTCCAGCTGATATGAAGTGAGGGGAGATGCACGAGAACATCCATACCTGTAGATAGCACCCACTTGACCTGGCTTCAATGGCTGGATGATCAGAACTCGACTAGAAGAATAAAGAAGGTATGGGGGCGGGGAGGGAAGAGTAACCTGCTACAATTTGATGAACTTTACCTATACTTATGGATGTAGCAGCTCAAAAAAGGGAACAAATCTTTACAGCGAGGATCACTCCCATCCCCTTGGTATGCAGGGTTGACAGGGATGGGCAACTTAGACAATGGCTACCCAAAATGGGGGGGGGAGGCTATAAAGGCAAGAAGTGACCGACTGGCTTACAAGCTTTCAAGAGGGAGCCTAGTTCCAGATGGGGCGGGGTAAGGTAGAATCACCACTGAATGAATTCCAGTCGGTTGGGACCAGGCTGGCAAAAGGAAATGGGGAAAAGATCCTTGTGGTACAATAGTGAATTGTCATCAGGACTGACTGTGAGGGTAGGAAATATAGAGGCAGATGTTTTTTTGACAAAAGGAGAATGATTGATTTTGCAGCCCAGGAGTGGAGGTCACTGGAACCATCAAGTGAGAAGAACTGAGAGCGGGACCCTACCTCGAAAGGCAGCGACACCAGGGATGGAGGTGGACAGATGGAACAGCTTGGTACATTGGACTCAGGGAGGGAGAAGGGCTGTGTGTTGGCAGCTGGGGAGCAGGCCTGTGTGGTGTACCCTTTGGTTATTTTATGATGCATGGAGGGGATTGTAATCATTGCAATGAAATGAAATACGGTAGGATGAGTGTAAAGCTGATGTTCTCCCATGTAAACATCACAATAAAAACTTTAAATATATATATATATATA